GATGATGCGTTGGATCCGGATGTTGGTGGTGTGGTACGTGAGGATGAGGGGGATTCTGTTTTGTTTGTTATTGCGGGGATGGGGTGTGAGGGATGAGTTGCGGGAAATGCGGGAGACACGGTCGAGGGCATGCTCGACCACTGAGTTGGGGAAGTTGCGGTCCTTGAAAAACGAGGACATCTGAGATGTATGGCAGTGGAATGCCTCATCCTGGGAGCAGATGCGGCGGTGGTGAAGGAATTGGGAATAGGGGATGGCATTTTTGCAGGAAGGTGGGTGGGAGGAGGTATATTCTAGGTAGCTGTGGGAGTCGGCGGGCTTGAAATGGATATTGGTTTCTAGGTGGTTGCCAGAGATGGAGACAGGGAGGTCCAGGAAGGAGAGAGAGGTATTAGAGATGGTTCAGGTGAATTTAAGGTTGGGGTGGAAGGTGTTGGTGAAGTGAACGAACTGTTCAAGCTCCTCGTGGGAGCACGAGGCGGCGCCAATACAGTCATCAATGTAACGGAGGAAGAGGTGGGGTTTAGGGCCAGTGTAGCTACGGAAGAGGGATTGTTCCATGTAACCTACAAAGAGGCAGGCATAGCTTGGGCCCATGTGGGTACCCATGGCCACCCCCTTTGTCTGTAGGAAGTGGGAGGAATTGAAAGAGAAGTTGTTGAGGGTGTGGACGAATTCGGCTAAGCGGATGAGGGTGTCAGTGGAGGGAGACTGATCGGGCCTGCGGGACAGGAAGAAGCGGAGGGCCTTTAGGCCATCTATATGGGGAATGCAGGTGTATAGGGACTGGACGTCCATGGTAAAGGTGAGGTGTTGGGGACCGGGGAATTGGATCCATCTTCTATCTGCCTCCCCCTCCTCTCCCTATTTATTTCAGAACCCCCTTCCCCTCCCCCATTTCTGAAGAAGGGCCTAGGCTCGAAACATCAGCCTTCCTGCTCCTCTGTTGCTGCTTGGCCTGCTGTGTTCATCCAGCATCTGCAGTTCCTACTACCTCTTACCAATAAGTGAGTCAGGTTTTAGATTAAGGTACATTAATAATTGTGCAAGTCCCAATCATTAAGTGGAGTTTGTAGTCTCCTACGATTTCTCCCCACAGATGCTGACAGACCTGCTGAATTTCTTCAGCAATTTCTGTTTTTGCGAAGAAATAAGGTGCTTTTATTTTATTGCTACTTATCAAAATTTTTGATAACCACATTCTTGATGTTCAGTATAAACATTTTTATTAACTATTAGAGTGTCAAATGTATTTACGTATTAATATACACATTTTTAAGTAGGAATGATGTGTAGTACAGGCATATTTTAGCAGTCGAATATTTTGTTATTCTATCCTCTCTGTTTGGCAAATAAATTTAGTTCAATTATGGGTGCCTGCTGTGAGTCCACATATTAATCATTCTCAGTGAAATACACAACAAAGCCTTTAGAGAGGCTGCAGAAAAGGTTTACGAGAATGTTTTCAGGGATGAGAGATTCCAGTCACAGTTACAATTATAGATTAGAGAAGACAAGATGCTTCTCCTTTGAGAAGAAGAGGTTTATAGGAGATTTAATAGAGATGCTCAGAATCACTGGACAATTACAGAGAGATAACTTGTTCCCATTGACAAAAGGATGAAGCATCAGAGACTGTTCTTTTAAGGTGAATTAACAAATTAAGCAACAACAACATTCTGAAAAGTTTGTTTCCTTGACAGACAACAGTTAGGAATTGAAACGCACTGTCTCAGGGTGTGGTGGAAACAGAATCAGTTAGGACTTTCAAAAGAGAGTTGGATAGGCTCCTAAGGAGAAATGATTTGTTGAGCTGCGGGAAAAGGGACAGGGAATGGACTAAGCAAAGTTGCTCTTGGAGTCCTCTTGGACAAGATACTTAATGGCCTCCCTCAATTTGGAATCATTCTGTAGGTGTGTGAAGGCATCAGAGACCTCATTTGCTGCTGCAGAGCTGGTGAGAGACAGTTGCTGCCTTTTTAACGAAGGCTTTAAAGGCCGAAAATGCAAAGATGAGGCCACCCTTGGGCCTTTCCCTGGATTTAAGACCCCAGGAGTGATGATCTTGCCTACTGAGAGCTCCCAACCAATCAGAAGCTGGCAGCTCCTGTGCTCAGCAGTGCCACAGAGAAGTCCATGGTTGCTGCAGAAAGAACACCCACCGGTGTCCCAGAATTGTGCAGCTCCCCAGGCTATGCTGGGTGGAGAAGGATGACCTTTTGCAGGGAGAGGGGAGCAGAGGGTTTAAAAGCAAGTTCAGGCTCTCAGCGGCCCACCCCACATTCCCAGTGTCCAGTCCTTTGATCAAACATTGAGTACCTTCAATTGAGAGACCCTCCTCCACCACTGCAAGGTCACAACCTGCTGCACAGTTTCAGCTACCATGCATGCAGATTAGCTACGGGTCTGCCCACCACTGGACTAAGACCATTAGAGGTCGGAGGAGAACTATAAGTAGTCATCAATCGTCTACTTTAGAGCCACAAATAGTGGTGGGGTAGATACTTCATTGATAGGCCTTTCTGACAGAATCTCATTCAAATGGAGGTGGGAACATGTAGGGGGTTCCAGGGATACCTCCACCCTCCCTACTTAAATGTCATTCCTGCCTCTAAGCTTGTCACCAGAAAGAGCAGAAGATGCAGCCCTAAGATGCTAATGAGTGATGGTGGACAGTGAGCTTGGTGGCTGGATGGCTGGTTTGTGTTGCAGAATGACCGCAATAGCATGGGTTCAATTCCTGCATCACCTAAGGTTACCATGATGGACTCTCCTTCTCTACCTCACCCCACGTCTGAGGTGTGGTGACCCTCAGGTTAAACCACCACCAGTCAGTTGCCTCTTTTCTAATAAGAGAGCAGCTCTATGGTCTGGTAAGACCATGACAACTTGACTGGCCTGGTAAGACTGTGGTAACTTTTTTTATTGAATTATACATTTGTCTTTAAAAGAGCAACTGCCATCAATGTCCTTCTAAACATAAGCTAACACCTGAAGAAGGACTAAGGCTCCGAAAGCTTGTGTTTTCAAGTAAAACTGTTGGACTATAACTTGGTGTCATGTGATTTCTGACTTTGTCCATCCCAGTCCAACACCCGCCTCAAACATAAGCATGACAGAGATTTACTCACTTTTACCTAAAGGGCAACTTTTTCATACAGAGGGTGGTGCGCGTATGGAATGAGCTGCCAGAAGAAGTGGCAGAGGCTGGTACAATTACAACATTTAAAAGGCATTTGGATGGGTATATGAATAGGAAGAGTTTACAGGGAAATGGGCCAAATGCTGGCAAATGGGACGAAGTTTGTATAGGATATCTGGTCAGCGTGGTCACATTGGACCGAAGGAACTGTTTCCATGCTGTTCATCTCTATTAGTCTATGACTCTAGTTTTATTGAGCTTTGAAACATTTGAATAAGCAGGACTGATTTGGACAACTAGCCAAATGGAGCTACTAATGCTGACCATGTGAGGAAGCTGAAGTAAAATGATGCCAGATTTGCTGCAGCAGTGCATCGCATGGAACATCCCATTTGTTAAACATTTCCCTTCATCTTTCAGTTTACGGTTATAGCTTGTCAGAAGTTTAAATTGAGAATGGCAAGCTGAAAGCAACAGGGCATTTGGGATTTCTGTGAATGATGGTGCCACCAGTCTATCTCTTTAACAATTGACATTTATGGATTGAGAAAGAAAAAGAAAAATACTGAGTAGGAAGTGGGATGGACTGGAGTTAAACCAAGTAAACAGTAATAAAGAGAGGTGAAAAGAAGATTGGGTTTGAATTAAGACAGAGAAAACAAGAAAAAGGAAAAATAAGATTTAAAAACAGTAATTGATCAAAATCTCCAACAGCTTACTGCCTCTCAGAGGTTTTTTAATTTTTTGAACTCATGAGGTTAATTGCAGGAACAGTATTTCATTTTTTACCTAAAATGCTGTTAAGTACAAGCCCTAAGTTTCTATGGGGTGTTTAATTGGCAATTAACACATATGTACAGCAATTTCCTAAATTCGGGCTAGATTGACAGCAAGTTCCTGAATTTGCAAACCTAGTTGCAAAACCATTTTCCAGCAGTTTATGATAATTCATAATTCATGGCAAATCAGTTCCTTACCACAAGTTTAGACTGATTTATGCGTTAGTAGTAATGCACGCATTAAACTCAACATTTTCACATCAAGTACTGGCTATCATCACATTGTTTTTGGCAACTGGCTGTGCACAAATTGGATGGTATGCATAAACTCCTACTTTACAACAGTGACTATATTTCAAAAGTACTTCATTGTTGTAAAGTGACTTGGAACATCCTGAGGTTATGAAAAGTACTATATAAATATATGTCTTTATCTTTCTCTTCCTACTTGCTTGGCTTTGGTTGGGTAGTTTCTGCTGCGCCCTGCACATAAAAACAGATTTGGTTTTCTGTCTTCCAATTCCTATTATCAACAATAGGGTCCCTTTCATTATGGTGGAATAAGCGTGATCCACTTTACAAGTAATTCTGCATTTTCACGTTAATACTGGTAATAACTCTTTCATTGGTTTTCTAACATTATATAGATCAAAGCAGACATATGTCTAAGAAGTATATGAGAAAAGTGATTACACTTTGACATTTGTTTCTGGCTATTGATTTAAACAGTGAATGTTCCCTGCATTTCATTATGCTGCTCCACTTTGGTTTTGAAATGTATCTTCCAATACCCCTTAAAATGTGTCCAGGCACGTGATAAATTCTCCCACAAAGCTAGCCTGGGAGCTGGTCATTTTATTGTGATGCTGCTTTGTCCCATTATGCTTAGGGATTTATAATGGCAGAAACTGTTTCATTGATGTGTTTAATTATTGTAGAGATTGATCTGTTTAGTATAATGGTTTGTGAGAACAATCTGGTAATCTTAGTGGGCAAAAGATCTTTTGCATCAATAAATCAACCTCATAACTGAACACATTGCACTTTCCCACTAAATATAATCTGTTCAAATTTTGCAGGTTTTCCGTGGAAATGTCGATAACAACACTCCACATGCAAATTCTTTTAATCCACCTATAGAGGCCCAGTACATACGACTGTATCCTCAGGTCTGTAGGAGACACTGTACATTGAGGATGGAGTTGCTTGGCTGTGAAATGTCAGGTAATCATAAATTAAGACTCTCTGCACTGTGTACTGTTGGAAATACCTATTTTAAAAGGTTTGCCATGAAAATGATTAATTTTTTTGATTAAACTATGAATTATATATTAGCTTTCCAGGAATGGGTTTGTTCCACTTCATGTAATTCCTATCAAAATTTGAGGAGTTGCAACTGTGATTAATCACTGGTTATGAATCTTAATCACACAAGCACTCATTCACAGGCTCAAGTGAAGGTTTATGGAATCAAGACCGAAATTTGTTGGTTTACTGGCAAGGGACCACACAGATGAAAAGTGTTGCATTATTATTACGGGGCAGACCTTGGCACATTATTAAACGTGTGCGAGAAGCCTTACAGACTCAAATGTGCTTTCAGGAACCAATCATCACAGAAACAAGGTCGTTATTTTTTCATTTCAAATCAGACACATTTCTCAGTAGCGTGAGAAAGTGCAATATGAATGTAAGTCTGTCTTGTTCTTGCAATATTGTTGCTCCCTTGGTTGACTTATTTTCCCGTTTTGTTTCAGTTCCCACCCCTATCGAGGAGTTAGGCAGTTTTTTATACTCTATATGTTGCACCCCCTCCCTTCCACCATTTCTGCAAAGAAAAATTTCAATGTACAAATAACAATCCAGCCGCCATTAAATGTCTGCTTATTATATCCATAACCTGATTGCATTGATTGACTTTCACTATCTATTTCTCTTTACTGTTGTTTGATTTAACATTCAACGAAGAAAATTACATGTGATTCCCATCCTCATGCAGTGGTGTAACTGCAGTGTAAACCACAGCACTGAATACTAATTTACAGATTGCTCCAATTTTCTTAGAACTTACAGTACAGCAAGTCTTTTGGCTGACTATGCCATTACTGGCTGTGTGAAAGATCTATCCAATTGGCATCAATCAACCACACTTTCATCATTGCCCTGCAGTATTTTTCTTCTTCGTGTACAAAACTGATTTACTTCTGAAAGTTAAAGTAATAGTACTGGATCAGTTTAGGATATCTGATTGGCAGAGACGAGTTGGACCAAAGAGTCTGTTGCTGTGCTGTTAACTCTATGACTGTAAGCTGTGCTGTAACTTTGACCTTCATCTTTGTTTCTGACTTGCAAGCCCACATGACTAAGCAATTGTCTCCTTTCCAGCCTGCTCTCCCTTCCTGCCTGAATGATTGTTCCCTTCTGATCTCTTCCCAATCAGTGACATCCACTGTCTTCCTGCAAACCCAACCCATACTCCATCACTGACTGACCAATTGCCCCACCTCTGTCAAACTCTCTCATACTGACTGACCTGTTGTGTCTTATTCCATCTAGCACTCCCTCTATAAATGACTGAATGTTCTTCATATTGACCAGCCCTTCTCACGGATTTGATTGTCTCTCTGTAACTCATCCTTTCTCACTAAATGGTTATTCCCTTTATCCCGCTCTCTCAGACTCACCGATTGTGCCATTCTGACATGTTCTACATCACTAACATATGATTCACTAAGTGTCCTATTGTTCCTCAGTCAGACCCATTGTCCCCTCCCTAACTAAATCCCTGCTGCTGACTTACCTTGTCTACTCACTGAACTTTCAGGATGACAAATTATTACGTGCATATAAATGAACATGATAAGCTATAGCATCACTGTAGTGACAAGCTTTACATCTCTGCTTCAACTAATTGGATAAATTGACCACCACAGAGCAAAATTACAATTTCCTACAAAAATTGGTTGGCACACAGGGAAATATAATGACTATTATCTCCCCCACCACTACCTCCCACCAACTCCCCATCCTGCCAACCTCTCAATTTTGCTGCCTGCTAGAACATGATCCTTAGAGGCCAACAGCATCTGGTGTCTTGCCAGCATCTTATTTTTCATCCTCTTTCAGCTGTTGACTAAACATGTAAACTCCAAAAGATGTTCAGTACTCGAGAGTTAATCCAGTGTATTTCATTGTAAAGTTTAGAGAATATTCATTTGCTGAGATAATCACCATCTATGTGGATGCATTTTTTTTGTATGAGTCATTACAGCGTGCAAAGGTGGAGACTCTAGCTGGTGTGTTCTCCTCACACTTCCCAGAGATGTTTAAATACTGGGTGGATTCTTCTTCTTCAAGCTTCAGGGATCTAGTCAACTACCTAGTGAACCAGCAAGACATTGGCACTCCCTCTTTCACGGAAGACCTGCCAAACCATAAGCCATTAAGGCAGTGGCAAGGACATGAACCAGCTCCCCAGGCACAGAGTTCCCTGTCAGGTGAGAGCCGATCAGAGGCTGACAGCTCCTGCACACAACGATGCATGGAGGAAGCTGTGGCTGCTGCTGGAAGAGTGCTCCTGTATCACAGGCGACCCAGTACTAAGTTAAGTGCAGTAGCTGGGTGGAGAAGAGGGTTTGTCTCAGGTTAACGTGCTAAGGCAGAGGAGAGCCAGAGACGTCAGATGCAAGAGCAAGGGGCTAGCTTCCCAAAGGCTACCTACTGCTCAGTGTCCAGTTACTCCATCATTGCGTTTAGCCAAGGGACCCATCTCAGATAGCAGCAATTAGGAATGCCTGCAGTTGGATTAACTCCAGCAGTGGCAGGCTGAGAACCTTAAGCAGTCATTAATTGGTCATTTAAAAACCTCAACTTACAGTGTGGCATGAAGGACTTGACTGACTGCCCATGCCAAGACAACACAGTGTGGAGCTGGAGGAACACAGCAGGTCAGGCAGCATCAGAGGAGTGTTGGTGCATGGCTGCCCATGCTGTAGTTTTGCCAGGGCTGGAATTTGGTGGCATTTAGACACCCTGCCCAATGAACTGCTATATCCACTTCAACACTCACCACCACTGAGAGCATTATGTTCCACCTCATGGGTTCAATCTTGCCCACCATTTTGGGACATGTTTTTTAGCCTTTGGCCTGTGGAAATATAATATTGTGCCATCTACTAAACCAGTCAGGTAACTTGTAGTGTTTTTTTTAACGTCAATATTTTGGTTATTTCCTTGGTTCTTTAGGCATAATTGGAAGCAGAAGTAAGTTATATTCCTTGAAGTGCTATTTTGTTTGGTTTTAGAATTATACAATATCCAGTGCTTCAGTGTGAGACTGCTGCACAAGTATATTTGATATTAGGATGTATGGTCCGATCTTGCAAAACAAATGGACTTGGAAAAGAATCGCACTTAAATATTAAGACTTTTAAAATTAGGCAAGTGCATACAATTTTAAAGCATTGAGATGAAAAGTGGTAAAAATGCTAATGAACTAAGCACTGTTTCCCTGAAGACTGAGGAGAAGCAATTTGTTCACTGCTCTCAGTAATTAGCAAGCACCTCACCCATTATATTTGGATGTCATTGATCCTAATTGTGCAGTAGGGACTATTGGCCATTGGTTCTTTCTTCTGGTTATGAACATAGATATAAATCAGGGGCAAAAAGTCCAACACAGGTTACAGACACTGAAAGCTGCGCTGGCAAATTTTTGCCAGATTCAGAAATTAGAAAAAGAAATTACAATCAGCAAATATTATTTTTTAAGTAAATCAAGGACTGCCCACCAATACAAGGAAGTTTAGGTCCTTCAATAATTTGTATTATTACGTAAGGCAAGTAATAATTGAAGTTAATGACTCTTTCTCTTTATGGATAGCTAATAAATAAATAGAATAATATTTTGCTATGCTTCCATGAAATATAAACTAGTCATCTTACTGAATGATTGGAGATGTAATCAAGAGCAAGAGTGAAAGATAGGGATAAATTTAACCTCCCACAAAAGAGACAGGATTTGATGAGGGTGAGGTAGGGCAGGCCACTATTGAGTGAGTAACAATTCGAAATACCAACAACAACACCCCGTGAGCACACTTACTTCTGGTTTCACTGCAGCATCTTTGAGGTTGGCTGCGTACGCTCCTGAACAGGTGGAGATATTGTTGAGAAAATTTAAATAAGATTTCTTTAGTCTGATTTAAGTAACCATCTTTTTTCTCCCTTCATTCCATTTCCCTGAAATCTCTCCTTCTCATGATCTCTCCCACCATAATGTCCATCAGTCATGAAACCTCATCCCAAGGTCTTTCTCCTGCTAGTTAACCTAGATTTCTCCCCGACTCAAGGAATTTTCTCTCTCCCTACAATTTCTTAATCATCCTAAATTCTGATCCCATTCCCCCTACAATCTTTATGTCACTCCTGGATGCTATTCTTTGAGTGTCCCTCCATTAACTTCTGATCTTCAGTCACAAGGGGCAGTCTACAACTGCCTACTGTTGGGTTTGAACTCAGCATTTCCAAGCTTCCAGTATTATTTCTCACAACCAGATACAAAGCACTGTGCACCAACTCAGGATTCAGGATTAACATCACTGAATCTATCAAAGTATCTAGAGCAGCCCCATATTTGTAATATTTCTTCTTCAGGAGAAAACTCCATTTGCATATGCATTTGCACCCTTGCATCCAAGGGAAATTAAGAACTAAAGTCAGTGCGAATCAAGGTTGAGCTATTGCTGTTCTAAACAGACCTGTATAGAGTGGAATTTCTGCAAAATTATTGCAATAAAATATGACATATGCACAGTTGACAGCACTTTGCAATGTTTTGTAATGGAAAAATTGCCACATAATTGGTATTCCCAACAGAAATCTCTTTCGCATTTTTGGGTAATTACAAAGAGCAATTAATCGGATTGCCACATGAGTTTCTGAACTTGACTGAACCTTTCATGAATAAAACATACTTCTCTGAGGACTTTCATAGAATTGTTTTGCTGAATTTGAATATAATAATTGTAACATAATAGTAAATAATAGAAATAGAATGTAATTGTTTCAATAACTTGATGTATAAGTATATCCGAAACTGTCAAGGGTTACAAAGAAGCTTTGGTGTGGTGTAAATTATGGAGGGAAACACAGAAAATTGCATGATGCCAAAATACAAAGTAGACAATAGGATTAGGTTCAAGAACTTCCCACATAAGCGTCCGACAAAAGGAAAACTCTGAGGCAAGGAGGCAGTAAATTTTCTTTGTGGGACCCAGCAGGACATTCCTGCTCTGGCTGATCATACAAAAAAGTAGCTTTTTGTCCCCTTCTGAGGACAATTCTCCTCACATCTACTTCAGCCTTATGGGATAACTGCTCCTCCTGACCTAACTATGCAGTCTGAAATCAACGGCAATATCTCGTCCCATAATAGAATCACAGAAAGTGACCTTTCAGCCAGCCTTGTCTGTGTCAGCTCTCCATAAGAAGACCTAGTTAGTACTGCTACCTCATCTTATGGATCTGGCATCACATGGAGGCTAGACTGGGCAAAGATGGCAGTTTCCTTCTCTAAAGGACATAGTGAACTAGTTAGATTTTTCTAACAATTGACAATGGTTTCATAGTCATCAATAAACTCTTAAGTCCCACATCAATATTCATTCCCACATTCTGTGAATTAATGGAAAAAAAGTACTTATCACTTGTCAGCCCAAACCTGGATATTTTCCAGATAATCTCATTTGGACATGGACTGCTTAAGTATCTGAGGAGTTCTGAATGGTGCTGAACATTGTGCAATCATCAGCGAACATCCCCACTTTGGAGCTTATGAAGAGGGAAGGTCATTGAAGCAGCTGAAGATGGTAGAGTGAGGACACTATCCTGAGGAACTCTTGCAGACATATCCTGGAACTGAGATGACTTTTTTTTATTTATTCATGGGATGAGGGCATCGCTGACCAGGCAGCATTTATTGCCCATCCCTAATTGCCCAGAGGGCAGTTCAGAGTCAACCACATTGCTGTGGGTCTGGAGTCACATATAGGCCAGACCAGGTAAGGATGGCAGTTTCCTTCCCTAAAGGTCATTAATGAGCCAGATGGGTTTTTACAACAGTCAGCAATGGATTCACGGTCATCATTAGATAGTTAATTCTAGATATTTATTGAATTCAAATTCCACCATCTGCCATGGTGGGATTCGAACCTGGGTCCCCAAAACATTATCTGGGTCTTTGGATTAACAATCCAGCGATAATACCACTAGGTCACCGCCTCCCTCAACCACACTCCCTCAACAATCACGATCATCTTCCTATGTACTAGGTATGACTCCAACTAGCGAAGATTTTGTCCCTGATTCCTGTTGATTCCAGTTTTGCAGTCTTAACATGTAGAAAAGTAAATCAAGATGTAGAATATAACAGGCAGAAAAATGTAGAAATAAAGAAAAAGTGTTCAACTTTACAATTGTTCTTGTTAGGTGCTCCGCCATGGGCCTGGTGACCAGGCATGAGTCACCTTCACTGCACGGCTGCCACTGGAATGAAAGTTGCCACTCTTCAGTGCCATCTTGCCTCCACCAACACCCTTCACCAGTATGAGTCCTCGATAGACCTTGCCAATGCAGACCCATCAATTGCACTGGCGGCCCAAACCCAACTCTGTCACTGCCATGAGTCTGTGTTGGGCCCACCTCGCCAATGCGGCTACTGCTGATGCCACTGGGTCTCGTACTGAGCCCAAACGCACCTCTGCCACCACCTCCATTAATCTGCGCTGGACATAGACTCTGCCCGGGACACAAACTCACCTCCAACACTGGGGTCACTCAAGTCCGCGTTAGGCTCACCTGCCATTGCCGCTGCTGTCATCGCATCCAAACTGCTGAACCAAACAAACACCAAAAAACACTGGAGAAACTAAAGAGCCATACTGGAGTTGAAACATCTGTTTCTCTCTTCCGGATGCTGTCAGACCTGCTGAGTTTCTTCAGCATTCAGAATCTTTCTTTAAGATTTCCAGCATACACAGTATTTTGTTGCTGTTGTAGCTGTCCTCCTTGGCTAGGGCACAGCAAACTCTGGAGTACAAGTCTATTGCTGGAATGTTGTCAGGGCCCATATCCTTTCTAGTATCCAGTGCTTCCAACCATCTCTTAATATCACATGGAGTGAATTGAATTGGCTGAAGACTATGATGCTGGAGACCTCTAGAGGAGCTGACATTGGATCATCCAATTTGCAATGCAAGCTGGGGAGGTTGTTGTGAATGTTTCAGTCTTAACTTTTCACTGATGTTCTTGTCTCCCCTATCATAGAGGACGGGGATCTTTGTAGAGTCTCTTGTTCCAATAAGTTGTTTAAATGTCCACCATCATTCAAGACTGGATGCGGGAGGACTGCAGAGTTTAGTTCTGATCCTTTGGTTGTGGGATCTCTTAGCTCTGTCTATTACTTGCTGCTTATGCTGTTTGGCATACAAGTAGTCCTGTTTGGTGGCTTCACCAGGTTGACACCTCATTTTTAGGCACACTACTCCTGCACTCTTTGTTTAGCTAGGGTTTATCCCCTTGCTTGATGGTGATAGTAGAGTGTGGGAAATGCCCGGCCTCGAGGTTGGAGTACGATTCTGCTGCTACTGATGGCTCACAGCACCTCATGGATGCCCAGTCTTGAGTTGCTAGGTCCGTTTGAAGTCCATTCTCTTTTTTAATTGTGTTAGAGCCACAAATCATGATGGGTGTATTCAATGTGAAGATGGGATTTTGTCTCCAGAAAGACCAGACGGTGATTACTCTGACTAATATTGTAATGGACAGATGCATCTGTGACAGGCAGATTAGTGAGGCTGAGGACAAGTATGTTTTTACTTCTTGGTGATTCCCTCACCACCTGCTATGGACTTAGTCTAGCAGCAATGTCCTTTAGTACCTGACTAGTTTAGTCAGTAGTACTGCTGCCATGCTCACTCTTGGTGGTGGATATTGAGGTCTGTTGGCACAGGTCATACCCCTGGATGATGATGGTGATGGGTGTTGTTTGAGACATTGTGCATAAGGTAAGATTCTGTGAATATTATTATGTCATGCCGTTGCTTGATGATTCTGTGACATAGCTCTCCTCATTTTGGCACTGCTCCACAGTTGTTAATAAAGAAGGCTTTGCAGGGTCGATAGGGCTGTATTTGGGTTGTCAATCCCAGTGCCTTCATCAATGTCAGATGATCCATCCGGTTTCAACCTCTTTTAGCTTTTTACCAGTTGATACATTGAGTGATTTGCTTGATATTTTGGAGGTCGGTTAAGTGTCAATTACATTGATATGAATCCAAGTTTATATCAAGGGCAGACCATGTCAGAATGACAGCTTCAATCAATATGGTCTATATTAAACTTTTAATTCCAGATGGTTTTATTAAATTGAAATTCTACTATTCAAAACCAGGTCCCCAGAAAATAACCATGGTCACAAGATTATGAGTCCAGCAACAATACCACTAGGTCATCAACTCCTTGTGATTCTTTGGGAAATGAAGAGAAACACTTCTTCTTCTGATTGACTACACATATTGATATAAAAGACACATCTTTTATCCAAAGCTGCCCTGCCTTGCAGAAATCCAAGCAAGTTTTATTTATTTTAACCTATTTTTCTGCCAATCTATCCAGAGATTTTATTACACACACCCAGCAGCAAGTGGGACTTGAACCTGGGCCTCCTGGTCCAGGAGTAGGGACACTGCCACTGTGCTACAAGAGGGCTGAGAGGTTTCCTGTCTCATTAACATGTTTAAAATGCCAATTCTGTGTTTAGAAAACCTCACGGTGAGGTATAGTACTGAATCCAACTTATATATACCTTTTATTATGACACAGACATGCATTGCAAGCATGCACCTTCTAACCAACAGTTTCAATCTGTCAATTTATAGGCAAATGAAGTGAATCCCAAGGCCAGCACCTGCATACAGATAAACACAACGAATGCCATTGTTCCACCTTTGCAAATGCAGAAATCAGAGCAGTGATGCTTTCTGATGCACTTTGGAATTTTTCCTGATATAACACCTCTCCCCAACCTTCACCAATCCAAACGTACAAACACACCATCTTAAAATTCATTCCAATGTTGCTGACAAGTCAGATGTTAGGTTAGCTCATTTAATACAATTGAAGTCATGGCCCAGAATTTCTCATACTTCACTACCTATACCAACATGGGTATGACAGCCTGTACCTCCTGTTTGATTTTTGTGTGGATGATCTTACATGATGACAATCTCTTGCTCTGAAGGAGAGCACTAATCTGTGTCAAGTGTTGAGTGTCAATACCTTGACTGGTAGTGGGTAGCTAGGTCAAATCTTGAATTTAGACTGAAGTGTAAGACCTCAGCTGGGATGATAGCATTGGTGATGCAGTGATTAGCTTCAGCCTCCTGAATCTGGAGTCAGCACTTGAGCTGGATTCCCATGTGTGATGATTAGCTAATACTAAGACTAGAAGTGTACTCATGTGAAAACTGGATGAAGACATCTTTGGGTATGGTTATACTTCCTGTAATGACTGAATAATTTGTAGTCTCCATCTAAGCCCAAATATTAATATAGGTGTATGAATTGTTGGATGATAAATGACACCATTAAAACTGTATGCTCGTAAGAAGCTGGTACCTTTGCATTAGAAGGTTAGAACATTGGAAAAATAATGAGGAGGAAAAGAAGTAGCCAAATGATTTAAGATGTTTTTGAAACAGAAAACATCACTATGATGACTTAAATTCAACATTGCTGAATTTTTGAACTTATGAAAAGGTAATGTCAGGTATGTTGTGCCCTATTTTTTTCTGTTTTAAATTTGTCCTGTTCCTTTAGGTTGCTCAGAGCCTCTGGGGATGAAGTCAGGACATATCCAGGATTATCAGATTAGTGCTTCCAACATCTTTAGGACCCTAAACATGGATATGTTTACATGGGAACCCTATAAAGCTCGTCTGGATAAACAAGGGAAGATTAATGCTTGGACATCAGGCCGCAGTGATCAGTCACAGTGGCTACAGGTATTCATTTTACTTTGAAACTGTGGAGCTTTTGTTATGCATGCACTTGTCTCTGCTACTAATTAATAGATTCAAAGGACACTCAAGTTTAAAATAAATCCAAATGGAATCTGCTAATAAATTTCTTACACCTAGAGTTTAGAAAATGTAGTTTAATACGAATCTGCAGACAGATTTTGAAGTTCACAGTTGGTTTTCTCACATAATTCCCTATCTATTCTTTAAGTGGATACCATAATCCGATGAATGAAGTGAATGCCCTTTATTTATTTATTTATGTATGTGCTTAGAATTCAAAACAGTTCTCCTACAGTCAAATGCTGCATTATTCTTTTGAAGTGATGGCAAAAGTCAGTGAGCATTCCATTTCATCATTTTACATGGAATTTACAAGATTGAAACAGTTCATTGTGTATTCACCAGCCTCATGGCCTGCTGCATAAAAAAAAACCATTTCTGCAGCTCTTTTATCCTTGAATCTTAACTTTATATCATCCATGTCTTCTCAACCATTCAAACCATCTATTTTGTCTAGTCCACGAAATCCCTTCATAATTTAGAAACTGTTATCAAATCATATTGTGCTTTTTACTGTTCTGATGAAAATAATACCAAATCTTCAAGCCTTTTATAATGTTATGTTATCCTCATACGAGACAACACCTCAGTGAATGTGCGCCCAATGCTGTTTAATTCTTCAACATTCATCCAATACAGACCCCATAACTGTGAACAGTACTCCAACTGTTCTCTGAATAAGGTTTAGTATAAATTTACCATTCATTTAACCTTCCATGTCTGTACCTCTTATCACAAAACTCAGTATTCCATGACCTTTTATTTCATTGACTTATCTGTCAGAGGTACTTCCTTTTCTGTCGTGTGATCCTACAAATTCCTGGGATTTTCTGCAGCATATGACCTCTCCCATCCAAAAATAATTATTACTTTTGGTTTACTGAAGTACTCATACCACACAAACTGGCATTGAATTGCATCCATCAGGTTTGTTTTGTCTTTTTTTAAACCACCTTATTAGTATTCTTTGATTGTTGGAATAGAGTCACAGAGATTTACAGCACTGAAACAGACTCTTTGGTCCAACTCGTCCATGCTGACCAGATATCCTATATAAATCTAGTCCCATTTGCCAGCATTTGGCCCATATCCCTCTAAATCCTTCCTATTCATATACCCATCCAGATGCCTTTTAAATGTTGTAATCGTACCAGCCTCCACTGCTTCCTCTGGCAGCTCATTCCATACACGCACCACCCTCTGTGTAAAAAAGTTGCCCCTTAGGACCCTTTTATATCTTTCCCCTCTCACCATAAACCTATGCCCTCTCGTTTTGGACTCCCCCACCATGGAGAAGAGACCTTGCCTTTTTACCCTATCCATGCCCCTCATAATTTTATAAATCTTTATAAGGTCACCCCTCAGCCTTTGATACTCCGGGGAAAATAGTCCCAGCCTATTCAGCCTCTCCCTACAGCTCAAACCCTCCAACCTCCAGATTCATTTTAGTGTAAGCTACTACTCCTTCTCACTCTACATTTAATCATTGGCATACACAATGAACAGAAGGCACCCTGGAATAGATCTGTCTGATATAGTGCTGTCAGCTTCCAACAAACGGATGCCTTCATCTCTCACTCTGTTTCAAATTTCTAACCAGTTTTTCATTCAACTTGCTACTTTTCCTCTAATTGCAAACCACACAATCTTCATCAATTGTCCCCTGCCTAATGTTTTCTCATTGACCAGTTGCATTTCCCCAACAAATATATCCATAAGTTCCTCCAAAAAATCTACTGGGTTTATGAAGCACAATGTTCCTTCCCTTTGAAAATCTACATGACTCATTTTCTCCTTTAGAATTTAATTGGTCTTTCCAAAATGTTCCGTCCATCAAAAATAACCAAACTGACATGTGTATTTATCTTGCTGTGTGAAAACCGATGAAACATTGGACGAGAACGCTGAAATAATGGGTATTGTTTAACCTAACCCACCTGGCAGGTAATTGGTCGGATTGGGTTGGTTACTCACCACCAATTTAACTGTCCATTGTCATTGTATTATTGTCTTACATCTGTTCTAATCGTTGATGGTACACTTCAGGATAGGATTTGTTGATTGCAGTTTCTGTACAGCTGAATGTATTAATATGCAAACTTGCAATGCTTTTAATCCCATTACTAGGAATTTAATGGTCAATAATGATACTTGCACACAAAAAACACATTTTTATAGAGACATATAAAAGCAAGATCGCACAGGCGAGATACAGCAGAATGAACATTTGATGTCTGGGTAAAAGCCTATTAAAAATATCTTTCTAATCAGCTCCCAAGGTAATTCTTTGTCACACACTACTGAAACAAGCAGCTGGGAGATTTCAATGAGCATAAAGTGCAGTGTGAGAAGTAGTTTTATTGGCTGAGAATGAGGAGAAAAATAATTATTGACTCAAATTATCAAGAACGCTGTATTTGTTTTTCAACCCACATCTAAAACTTGACGTAGATTCCAGACTGAAAGGCTGAAACTAAAATGAGTTAAAATCAGTCAGTGGAAATTGAAAAAGGCATGATATCACTTTCCTGGATCATCGTGCACTCCTCATGGTGATCACATACCAGTTGAACCTTCTCGGAGATGAGTAACCTCTGATGGTCAAACTCACCAGAATTGTGATCACTACATGGGTGCAGTCTCTTATGGCCCGGACCAGGGAGGCAAAGCCAACAGCCCTCTGGGTTTGACTAGCAGCATCAGTCTTATATGTAATGCACATTGGTGCCCTCCCAAGCAAGGCATCTGTCATCTATGCAAAGCAGTTGGTTGCCTGTGGATTCTAAGGTTCCGTAGCAGTCAGCAGCTGAGCCCTTGGATGAACCAGATGCAAAGTCAGTTAAGACCCATACTCACCTTGACATCTAAATAAAAACCGAAAGAACTGCAGGTGCTATAAATCAGGAACAAAAACAAAATTGCTGGAGAGACTCAGCAGGTCTGGCAGCATCTGTGAAGGAAAAAAACAGAGTTAATGTTTCGGGTCCGGTGACCCTTCCTCAGAACCGGACCCGAAACGTTAACTCTGATTTTTCCTCCACAGATGCTGCTGGACCTGCTGAGTCTCTCCAGCAATTTTGTTTTTGTCACCTTGACCTCTATGGATACCTGCAACTGATTGATTTATATCATCTTCAAGGAAGTGCATAGGTCGGTGATCATTTGAGCCAAGAGACGCAGCATTCGTCATCACTATTGCTCTCAGAACTCCAGGAAAGTGATCCTTGGCCTCAAGGTTCTCTGCAGAAGTTACTGCTGCCTTCTAGTTGCTGTTGTTTAATCTTAATTGCATTCAGATGCCTTTGGCTGTGTTACCTGCAGCAGTTGCAGTAACACTCCTTGATGTAACGGCCTCGGATCTTACTTAGTGGTCCACCCTCCTTTGGAATTTGTGAACCCCATGTTCCTAGGTAAATCTGCAGGCAAAAGCATCAATGGTCCCATGCGGATATCCAAGTCTCCTTGAGGAAATGATCCCAAGTTGTTTCACCCGGACAAAATCGGTGCTATTTGCCTCGAGGACCTGCAGTTGGCAGCACAAGACATTGATATTGATGACCTCAGGATCACCGCCTTCCCTCTATATACTGGTGATTTCATGTTGGCATCCGTTCTCAGTGACTTCCCACTCTGCACCCACCTTCTCTAAACTGTCAAATGATAGTACAGGTCTAACCATTTCCCAATTTACTACATTAAATATCTGCAAAATATTTCCCTTTAATTGAGCCTAAAGTTTAAGGTTAGTCTTTCTCAATGTCTCCTGCAGACCTGTGAGTGATGTAAGTGTTGTAAGTTTAACAGTTAAATTTTGAAACATAAATCCTGAAAAGACAGCAACGAAACAGATGGGAAAAAGAGATTCAAAACAAAGGTAACACAAGGGACATAGAAACTGGACGATGTTAGGAAAAACTGTTATCCTACACAGCTGTGGTACGTATTCAGGACATTCTTGCACAAGCAGAGTTCCTGCACAGAGTAGTTTCTTTTACCAGACATAACTATAGATAAAATCAAACTGAACCATGCAATGTTGGTGTTCCAGCATGACAAATTTTGTTCATTCCAAGGAAGGAAAAAGCATCCCCATGGAAATGAAGACTTTTCGGAGCTCTGCCTCAATTCACTTGTGCCCTTTGAAGGCTGTTCAGGATATCATATTCCCTGCTGCTGCTGACCACACTCCCCCTATCTGCCCCTAACTAAAATTTCAGGAAGAAGTCCACCAGCAGTTACCTGGCAGCCATTTATGCACAGCAGCAGGTTAATTGACTCAGGGCAGAATTTAGGTCCCAATCTGGGAAGAAGTCTGGCCTGAGAGTGTGACCAGCCGATCAGATTGGCTGGCAGCTCTTTTGACCCAACAGACCCAAGCTCAAGCAGTGGTCACTGCTCGGACTACATCCAGTCCACAGAGGGAGCTGGACTGAAGGCAAATGCAGTGATATCGATGTGCCTGACTGACTGGCCTATGGATGAATTATGAGGGATTGGGTTTGAGAGGTCCAGGGGAGAGTTAAACGTATGGTATGACCTTAGGGGTAGGGTGTCTCTAATGAGCATCAGGAACCCTTCAAGGAGGATACACCCTTTTACCTAACAGCAAGCTACCTAGTTAAAGGAAGCTGAAGTGATGGCCGAGTGATATTGTTGCTTGACCGTTAATCTGTAGACCTGGGTTCAAATCTCACCATAACAGATTTTTTTTCCACACAATCTGCTATGGTGGGATTAAGAGTCTAAGGATGACCTTGAATCCATTGTCAATTGCTAGGGGAAAAGTGAACTGTCTGGTTGCATTTTTACAAACAACACACTGTATGGAGATTGTAAAATCCAGCCTGTGGGTCTGTGTTTTTTTTGTGGGTTTTTGAGACCTGCCTTAATTTCTGATGAAGAATGAGAGAATGCATAACAAC